ACCATCATGGAGCATTCTGTAACTATTTCATTCGACTATTTAAATGATATCCTAGCATGAACATCAGATTTGACTTGTATGTATGAAGTCGGCTCCGACTTACTTGTTTTAGCATTCCTAACCGGATCCGACTTGTATGCATGATTATGTTCATCTGAACTACTTGCCTCTTCATACTCGACTTCTGCACAAACTCGACTTCAGGAAATTCTGGGATGTACAAAAGATACACTAATTTTGGTACTAGAAAATTATAACGATAAAACACAAATGGTATAAAATATTGATTGTCAACAATCAAAAACTGTTTGTTGTCTTGAGGTCATGTCAAACTTTACATATAGACTTTGAACAGTTTTACTATAAATAGCACTCGTTAAAACATGGTCTACTTTAATATTTTTATATACGGTTTAAAAATAGCATCTATTTTTTTCCGTGAAACTTTATAACATGATCAATATCCTATGTGGGTATAGTCCTTTCTAACTTAAATTGAAAAGATAGTACAATACTTTTCATCAAGTAAACATAGAAAAAGTGTAAATAGACTGGTAGTCCATACTTTTCTATGTTTGTTTTCTAAAAAGTGTTGTACCATCTTTTTAGTTAAGTCCTGGTAATAACAACTGAGGATCCAAGTCAACATTAGTAGTAAACATTTCAACGAAAATTGTTGAAAGTCCAACAACAACAAAAATCTAATTAAAGTAGTAAAAAGTTTAGCAATATCAACACTAAAAATTCTAAAAACAATAGTTAAAAATCCAACCTAAAGAGTTATTTTGTAATTTATTTATTGAAGTAAACTTGTACTTCTATACTATATTACATAGTATTAAGAAAACTTCAATCTTGAAGTTAACCGAATCAATCTTGATGAAAAATAATCAATTTTTTTATTGATCATTCCTCTTGTTCTTCACCATTTACTCAGGTGAGACAATCACTCCTTGGTTGCAAGATGATTATATACTACACACAAAGAGTTGAATGAAGAATATGAGGTGATGAAAATATATAAAGGATAAATTCTGGAGGAAGAATAAGATTGTATTATTCTGCAAACTACACTCAAAGTGTTTGTTACTATGTGTGTTAATCACATATGTGTTTTCTGAAAACTACACAATGCTACTACAAAGCTTCTTACTCACTAATTACAAATAAAATAGAGTTCCTCTCAAATTATATATGAGATTACTTGCAATTCAAGTAATCACAAAATAACTAACTCAACTAAAACTAAGCTAAGTCTAGGTCTACCTTTTTTGACTCTGTTGAGGTTGACTCCTTCGACGCCTTCATGCTTCGACAAGTTGTATTTGACTTTATGTCAAATACAGTTAATACAGAATATGCCCGAATTTTGACGAACGCACACTATTTCAACACAAAGAATTACAAATTTAACACACCACCTAATTCATTGGGTCTAAGTTATCTACATCCATCACTGTTCTCAATCTCTTGAATAATTCGACCTACAAAGTCTTTGTCATTATATCTGCAATCTGATTCTCTGATCTGCAATGCTCCAGGCTCAAGTTTTCATTTACTACCTACTCTCTTAGGTAATGGAACCTCATTTTGATGTGTTTTCTTCTTCCATGTGCTATCAGATTCTTTACTAGGTTGATAGTCAACATGTTATCAATTTTTAAGGTCATAGCTCCATGATTATTCCATGTAACTTCTTTGACTAGATTCATCATCCATGTTTATTGGCATGCATATATCGGAACTGCTATGTATTGTTCCTCACATGATGATAAATTTATCATTGTTTCCTATCTCGAAAACCATGCGACTGGCGCACCACCTAACATGAACACATATCATGGTGTCGATTTTCTATCTTCAACATCACCACACCAACTAGAGTCAGTGTAGTCCACAAGCTTGCATTCTTTTCCTTCATTGACTGCAGGAAATAAAATACCATAGTTGAGTGTTCCTTTGAGATATCTTAGTATCCTCTTAGTGGCTGGAACATGGGATATCATCGACTTCTGCATGAATTTGCTGACCATATCTACACAATAGTATCAACGATGCTTTCATTTTCTTCCATTTGAAGCAATTCATTTGTTCTTTTGTGAGTTTGTAACCTTACCTCTTTCACCTTCCACTACTACAAAATTTATCTTTCGTAACGCCATCGAATTTTATTTTACCATGACCAAAGGATACACAGTAGTAGAATCAATTCAATTAGGTGTTTTCCTTTTATTTTCATTTTTAAGCCCACTTTTCACCATGGTTGGAACTTCCAACCATGGTGAAAAGTGGCGCATGTTCATGAGTTTGAACCTAACACATACAATTTTGTTTTTAATTTATTTTTAAGCCACTTTTTGCCACGGTTGGAACTTCCAACCATGGTGAAAAGTGACGCATGGTCATGAGTTTGAATCTTGTTATTGTTGTTGTTCTATTGCTGCATTTTTTTATTTTATTAAAAGACATACACCAACAGTTATTTAATACAACCGTTGTTGTATGTAGCGCGTTATTCACAATTTTATTTTCCAATATATATATATATATATATATATATATATATATATATATATATATATATATATATATATATATATATATATATATATATATATATATATATATATTATATTATCGTCCATAAACAAATATTTACAGTCTATTTAGTGATTATCAATGCTTAAGACACTACCATTAGTGATCCACATGAAACCTAAACCTTAGACGAACTTTATCTTCTACCTACAAACATCATCTTTCATTTATGACACTCTATTTTTCCACTAAACCAAGTTCAAAATTATTATCTCTTCCATAAACAAGACTCAAAAACATCATTTCTTTCATTAACAAATTGCACAATTCCATCATCTCTTATCCAATTTGAATGAGACAAAGAAAATATGGATTCAAGTTAGCAATGTTAGTTGTTGTTCTTCTTTTTTTGTTATTATTGTTTTTTTCATTCTTGCTGTTATTATGGTTGTTCTTGTTGTTGTTGATGTTGTTGTTATTGTTGTTCTTTTTGTTGTTATTGATGCTCTTCTTGTTATTGTTATTGTTATTGTTGTTGTTGTTCTTGTTGTTCTTGTTGTTGTTCTTGTTATTCTTACTCATGTTGTTGCTCTACTGCTGCATTTTATTTTATTTTATTAAAAGACATACAACAACGGTTGTTTAATACAACTGTGGTTGTATGTAGCGCGCTATGCAATTTACTACCACAGACAATAGACCATGATTGTACATAACCCACTTACAACCACACCCTGCCTAACAACGGTTGTTCAACCGTTATTATAGATCTTTCCCAACCGTTGTTATGGGTTTTTTGTAGTAGTGTTCTCAGCTCTTTCAAATGATTTCTCAAAGATGTCCCATGTTTTTTTTACTGAGTCTACATCACTAACTTTCTCAAAGTTGTTTGAATCAACGCATTGATGGATTATAAAGAGAGCTTTTTAATCTTTCTTTTTTAAATTTTTATGTGCAGCCTTTTGTTCACCCGTAGCATTCTTTCTAATTGATGTTACTTCGTTCTTTACAAAATTCCAAAGTAGAACGGAGTAACACCAACTATTCTCAACACTTGACTTACTATTCTTAACACTCCCCCTCAAGTGTGAGTCCACAATGCTCCCTTTCAAGTGAAAACTCTTTTTTTTCACATACATTTGTACCGCCATTGACACCTCTTCACGGGTATTTCGACACACCTCTTCCCGGACATTTCAATTTCAACGGGACACCTCTTCCTAGGCATTTCGATACCAGTAAGTCGGTCCCTTTATTCGAACCAAAGGCTCATTATACCATTTGTTAGGTCATGAGTAGGAGCATCAACATTGGGGTAAGAGTAACACACAAGTGATATAGACACTACATATTCATCCAAAATATGATAGGTGTGTGGATTCTTCCACTTATTAATACCCAAGTCTCCACATTTATAACCAATGTGAGACTCCAACTCACACTTAACTTATTATTCTCAACAATTAGATTGAACTAGATAAACAAGTTACTATGTTCTTGTCTTTTTTTCTCTTTGGACTTGTTGTGATTTTGCTTTCATTTTTGACATGTTATTGAGCTGCTTTAGGCCATTTATTTTGGTTAAGATTGTTTTTTGTCCTCACATAATAAATTTCTTAGTGTGTTTTAACTCTGAATATTTCTTCTTAATTACTTTGAGTTAATCATTATTTTAATTAATATGAAAACACTTTACCATTGCAATTTGATAATCATCTTCCATTAGATTTAATTGAACGGTTCAATGTGTCTTATACTAGAGAGCATGTCATAGTTTTCAAACGCTATATATATATATATATATATATATATATATATATATATATATATATATATATATATATATATATATATATATATATATATATATATATATATATATATATATATATATATATATATATATATATATATATATATATATATATATATATATATATAATATCACACAATGATGTCATATATATTCTCACTGTAACTCACATCAAACACTTTGGGCAACTCACATCAGACACTTTGACATAAGATATCTCACGACTTTATCTTTAAAAAACACCCCGTATGGTTTAGATAAATTGTCCTTAATTTTAATTTCTGAACAATGCGAAATTATTTTGAACAATCTTAATCTGATTTAATTTTAAGGCTTTTGTGATAAAGTGTGAGAGACGTTTCAAAACCATTTTGCTGAAATTATTTTGAACAATCTTAATCTGATTTAATTCTAAGTCTTAATGATAAGGTGTTGAGGAAAGTTTCAAAAGCCTAACAAAAGGCAAAAACAAATGCTATAAAAGGCACTTTTGACCTAGTGCCTCAAGTAACAACAGAACAATGTTCCGAACTACAAAAAAAGTGATACTTTCTCACAATGAACATGACAATCATAATGAAGAAAGGCCAATTTTATTTAATTTTATTCAATACAATACACTTTATTCGTACACGAACATAGTTACTAATTAAAGAGGAATTGAAATAGCTTCTGGAAAAGGTTTAAGAGCCTCAGTTGAAATTGTTCCCATCTTGCAATCAAGTGACATAACTTTTGGACCAACAATGTTGTTTCCATAATCAATATTAATTTTGTTGATGATATGAAGCAGCACATTCTCAAGCTCTCCCCCATCTCTCCAACCATGTACATGTGCCTTTATGTCATTAGAATTCTTAGATACTAAATCACACAATGCAAAGTTCATTCTAGGCATCAGATAATCACTTTCTTTGAGCTTTAAACTAGGGCAAAAGTCTCCACTTCCATCTCCCAAGTATATCATGTTTTTCTCTCCTTCCTCATCAAGTGAACTTTGGAACTTTTCTATCACCAATCCCTGCATGTCATTAGGAGGGAGAAATATGTGTTAATAAATTAATTTTCATGTAGTTTTTACACATGCATGCAATTAAATTATATTAAGTAAATATTTATACATTTATTTTAGAAATTTATATAAAAAAGCATTATAATGTAATTTAATTGTATATATAATTAGTGTTAGAAAAACACAGTCAGTGTATACAATTTAAAAATAAATAAAAAAAGAAGAAGGTTTCAAATGGATAGACTTATAAATAATTGATATTGATACAGTTAATTATATATCTTTCTAGCCCTACTTATCATGAACAATGGATTTGCCTTTTTGGGTAGTCAAAGAAACCCTTTGATTATGACATATATTATATATAAAAGAAAAGTATATAGCCTCATGTGTAGAGACAAGACTAGACAATGCAATAATATTCAATGTCAACAAAATCTAATATTAAAATAATATTCTCTCTAATCTTTAATATAATTTTTTTAATTTATTAATTTATTAAATAATTAATATATTTGAATTATATATAATTTTGATATGTTAATTCTTCAACAATTTTAAAAAATAATTTTTTTTATATTAAAGATCAGAGTAATAATTATTTATTTTAATATTTGAAAAAAAAAACACTAAAATAGAATTTGACCTATTAAAAATTTAATTTAAACCCCGGACAATAATTAGTAAAAAATAATTTAATCCTTAACAATAATTAAAAAAGAAAATTTGATCCATAAAAAAATTCATAAATAAATTTATCCTTGATAAATGTTAATGTTATTCTTTTTTTTTTATTTTAAAAATAGAAGTAACTAATTAAATATAGATCTATAAATAACTCATAAAAAACATAATTATAAGTAAATAGTTTTGGGGGTAGTGTCATTGCCTTGCACATATTTGGTGGACAAAGGTTACATCCATGAGAAGATTTAAGATAATCATGGTAGGGACAAATTATGAGCCTCCCATCTTCATTAACATAACTTGGGTTTGCAGTGATCTTTGAGAAACAATTCAGCACTCCATGATGCTTCAAAATTGTTTCTATAAAGAAAATATTTGCATCACTCACAATCCTCAACTCACACCTGTATACAAATATTTCATCTTAATTAGACATGACTATATATATATATATATATATATATATATATATATATATATATATATATATATATATATATATATATATATATATATATATATATATATATATATATATATATATATATATATATATATATATATATATATATATATATATATATATATATATATATATATATATATATATATATATATATATATATATATATATATTATAAAGTGAGTGAACATTATAATTAATTATATTTATACCCAAGAGAATAAGCAGCTTGAATGGCAGGTACAATGCGAGGATGAATGGGAGTTCTCTTAACAAGTTCAATAATTTCTTCAATATTTTTCCCTTGAGAATGAAGTTCATTCATCATCTTGTTCTATAGAAGTTTAGAATAAATATAAGAATTATTTCCTTAATTGGGAAAAATATATTTAGTGAGATAGAATAGCATTGTATTAGAAAGAAAATGAAAGTAAAACAAACCATGAGAGGATTCCAAAGGGTGTTAGGAAGAAGCTGGTAGAATTTTTCAGTTAAACCAAAGTGATCAAGAACCCAATTATCACTATCCATCTCAATTATTGTTGAGTCAAAGTCAAAAATCACTATGACACCAGCCATTATATATGAGCAAAAGAAAATTTTGAGATTATTTTGTATATCTATGTGAAGATGATACAAGGGCCAACGAAGATTTATAGGCAAAGAAAGTGCAAGCTTTGGACATAAGCAAATTATTTAGGACCTCCTGTTTTGTAAAAGTCAGGACGTCTTTCCTTTTATAAAAGATATTAGGATCTTGGGATACCAAAGAATATGCTAATGTTAATTGGATCAATATTATACTTTTATTTTATATATTATTATAGGAAGATCTACACTTTCACCACACATACAGTATATTTTATTGGTGAACAGTGAAATATTATAATAATATTTTTTTAAAAATTTTTTTTATTAAGGAGCACATATATAAAATTGTGTCATTAAATAACTTTATAACTTCACTAATCAATCTTTTACATTGTATTAACAACTTTAATTACTGTTAAAAATTGTTTTTAATATCTGAATGTTTATTAATCAACTTCATAATTTTATTAACCAATTTTTTACATTGTATTAATCAACTTTGATTATTGTTAAAAATCATTTTTTTATATTTGAACGTTTATTAACCAATTTCATCAAGGATAAAACATAAAGAAAAACCAAAGGAACCAAATAACCAACAAACATATAAACAAAACAACCAAAACTCCTAGCCTAAACACTCGATAAAAAAGAGCACAAAAGCCCAGTCTATATTGACACCATCACCTAATCGAAACCAGAGAGAATCAAAATAATATGAACCAAAGGATTGTATAACTGAAGAATTAAAGAGTACGAGTTCACCTCCAAAAATCAAGTTGGGGGAGGAATTAGTACATAACTAAAAGCCCAGAGAGGCAAGCTAGCCATCATGCGCACTCATATATGCATAAGCATAAGAACAAGTCATTCATCCAATCCAATAAAGAGAAGGAGAAGTTTGGAACATGAAACTGAAATGGATTCTAAGAAAGACAGATGATATGACTCACTTCATGATCAACAGACGAGCGTTTAGTACCAAAGATAACATTATTACATAAACTTCAAATAGTCCAAATCACCGCGTGCCATACCATAAGAAGATATATATAGTGAAACTTATTCCATACTGAAACTCTCAACTCCCTCAAACATACTAATAATTGACTATGGAAGAGCAACATGTCCATCTACCAATCTAAAGAGTATATACAACATATTAGACACGAACCCACAAGAGATAAATATACAATCTACCAACTCAACTTGAGTAGAGCACATGGCACACCTAACCACATTAATATTATCTAAATTTCTATGTCTAATAAGGTTCTCAAGTGATGGGATCTAATTATGTAACATCTTCCAAGTGAAAAAATCCACTTTAGATGGGACCCAACTTCATCAATCCTTGGGCAAAAGTTGAATCACCTAATCTGATATACAATCTTTCCCAAAAAAGAGATTGGAGAAAATCTTATAGGTAGATTTCACTAAATGGACGCCCTTTTCATCCACCTTCCAAACCCAAACGTCCTTTTGAGCATGTACAATTGTACCAACCAAGGAATGCACCAAATTATCAAGCATCTCTTCCTCCCAAACCCATAAACTATATCACCATTTAAAATCTCAAACTCATACCCCTTCTAACCATGAACCTAACATATCAATTAGATGAGTCAGCTGCTCAGAAATAAGAAATAACCTTCTAAAAGAAACATAAAAAGAAGACTAATTCATCCACACAACTTGTAAAAAATGTGTTTGTAAGTATATAGTGCGCAACCTAAGAGGGGGTGAATTATGTTATACATATTTTTCTCGTTTTTAATAGATGGTTCTCATGTTCTTATTTTTTTTGGAAATATGTCTACGAACTTATGAAGAAAAATACCGAAATACAAATGCAATAGTGTAAAGAACACAAGAATATATGTTAGTTCCCCTTTCCAACCAAGAGTACATATAGCCCATCACACCTTGTGAGAGATTTTCCAATATGTTAAATCTTTGTATAAGCCTTACACCATGACTTATCTTACAATCTTCTAACACGACAAAGAAGCACGTCACTTCCTTGATTTACAAAAACATAAACAGCCATGGCGGACTTTGAATCACTCTGATTCAAAGGACCTTTTTCAATAATTACCAACACTACGATGATTATCACATAAACAAAAAATTACATCACTTTCTATTATAAACAAATGTCACCACATAATTGGTGATCAATACAAAGTTTGAATACAACTTTGAATAATCTTTTCCACTTAGCTTGAATTCCATGATAAAACTATTTGATATTCTCTTCCACTTACATACATTTCAAGAATATATATATATATATATATATATATATATATATATATATATATATATATATATATATATATATATATATATATATATATAACTATTTGATATTCTCTTCCACTTACATACATTTCAAGAATATATATATATATATATATATATATATATATATATATATATATATATATATATATATATATATATATATATATATATATATATATATATATATATATATATATATATATATATATGGTTCAATATGTTTGAGAAGCTTTTATATGACGTATGAAATTTATGCACACAAAGTTTCTGTCAAAAAGTTATCAACACATAGAAGCATTAAATGAATTGTTTGAAAAACAAGATGGGAAGAGGTAATTTGAAATCTAAAAAGTATTGCTTTAAAACATCACAAAATATATCTTAAATGAGTATCAATTCTTGAAAAATGTTCATGATTAATTGCAGTGAAATGTGAAAAGGTTATATGAACATGTGTAATGAATAAGTATTGCAAAGACATAGATTTATCAAAAAGTTACACGTGACAATCGATTTTCATACCACTACAATCGATTATGGCAAGTTAAAAGTTAAAATATATTCAAAATGTACATATGCCAATCAATTTTCATATGAGGATAATCGATTGTTCCTCCTTAAAAACTTAAATTTTTCTTTGGCATCGGCTTCATGCAATCAATTAGTTTGATGTGACAATTGATTGTTCCAATAAAAAATTTGAAATTTTCCCAGTTAAATATGCGCTATGGATGGAAATAATGTATGAATAATATGGCAATCTTAGAAGGGTTTAGATGAAATTTTGTTAGCACCTAACATATATATACACAAATGAATTTCCATTAGTACCTCAATCTTCATGATTCAATCTTTTGATTTCCAAAGCTTATGCAATCTTGACAATTGATTTTTATTTTTTCTTCTTTGATATTTCTCCTAAGATAGGATTTTATCTTCATCAAAAATAAGCATAGAAGGATGATGATATTTACTTCATAGAGTTCTCGTACCATTCCCAATCACCTTATTAACACCATTAAAAACCAATGTGAATCCTCCTCACCCTTAGATCCAAGCAAAGAGACGTCTCTCAACCATAAATACCTTCCCCGAGGCTCTTAAGCCACTTTCCGTGGAGAAAAAGATAACGAAAAAACCATACCTAGCAAAAACAATATCGACCTAGAGCCCATGGACATCCTCAAAGATATTTCACAACCACTTATCAAGAAAGGAAATATTAACATTCCTCAAGTCCTGAACCCTCAAGATACCTAACTCCTTTATTTAGATCGTAATTTTCATTCATTTTCTAAAGCTCGGACTTCAATAGTTCCCTTTTCTTTTTGTTAGAAAAATTAAAATATTCAAACATCATACTTCCCAACACAACATTCCTCATCATATAATTAGTTATAGTTAGTTGAAGTTTTTCTTGTGGACTCATCTTCTTTGCTCTTTCAATGTTGCCAAACACATTAATATGATCGTAGACGAAGGTTAGCCCATCAAAACTCTTATCCTAGAAATGAAATTCTTCTTAACCCACTGAAGGAACTAAAGACCCACCTCCAAAAGAGGTACTGACAGCCCTTCCAAAAGATTCCCATTCTCGAAGTCTATGGAAGTGGTCACCTCCAAATATATATTAGCCTTCCCAAGGCTCGCCTTATGCTTCTTGGAAGAAGGCGATGTCTCAACACTAATTATAGAAGACGGTAATAAACCAACACCAAAATTTCTTGAATAATTTTCCTTTTAGACGAAATTTTTTATTTCTTAGAGGTATTTGTCTGCAGATCGGACAGGTCACTATTTACATTAGGAGGTCCCACCTCTCATCTCCAAGTCTTTGTCGTCTCTAACATATTTGTTTCTTTGTTGCAGCATATAAAGGAGTCATTCTCTCAATAAAAATCAAAATAATAATTTAGAAACAATAATTGAGCATAACACGATGAAGATAACAAAAGGGTACACTTAACCAAAAGCCTTATAAACGTCAGAGGATCCCTCTCATGCCTAATTAAATCTCACGCTCTAAAAATCTATTCTTAGGAGGACAAATGTTGGACGAGATTCTTGGGAAAAAGTGTATAACTGGTGTATGGCAGATAACAGATTCTGGGGACAGATGTCAGACATGATGTCTGGGACATTGTATACCAAAAAGTAAAAACCAGTTACACAACCAAGTTATGACAGATTAACTTATACAAGATGATGAAGCAGAAAAGGAATAAATAGCACAATAATTGTTAACCCAATTCAGCGTAAATCACGCCTAGATTTGAGGGGGGGAACTCTACCCAACAAAGGAAATCCACTCTCCTATAGAATTAATACAAAGTTTCTTAGATGAACAAGCCCCTTGTTCAATACCCCTCTTCTTAATTCTACCCTTGTGTCGTTCTATTTAAGACTCCCCCTAAATATGAGAACCCCCATTCAATTTCTCTTAATCACTAACCCTAATTGATCAGCATCAATAAACACAATCATCAATGTTAAATACAACTCAACTAAACAAACTAACTACTATGCCTTTTGAATGAAGAAATATCATGGTGTACAATTAACATAAATACTTTGTTCTCAAGCTTATATAATCAATATATTGGATCAAAGTTTTACATCTCAACAAAGAAACCAAACTCTATGTCTTAAAATATGAATTCAGGTGCTAGAGTGGTGCACAA